AAGAGGAGTAGTCTCCAGATTGGGAGGCATCCTAAAACCAAGGACTAGAACACCGAGGAAATCCCGAGAAATGTTACCTACCGAACATCAACAGGATCACAAGTCCAGAGCTGGAAGGAGACAGCATGGCTGGCACAGAATCAGCAGCAGGTTTGGCTGGTAATACCACAGCTGAAAGGGCTTTCCTTTACTTTCAAGATCCTTTGGTGAAACCTTCTAGAAAACCTTGACTCATGTGTTAAGGAAGACAAACTGCCTTGCAAGGTCCTGTCACAGGCTGTAAAAAAGGGACATACTCAGAAATGGGAGAAGTGTCAAACCAGCACTCAAGGGGAGCAGCGCCCTCTTGTGGTTTCTCTTCTGTCCAGCAGCGAACTTCACATCTTTGAAGTATGTATTTACCTTGGAATGGGGCTTAAATTCTGGATGAAGACTGGAACTGGGTGTCTGGAGTGACGGGTAGAGCTCCAGGAAGCAAGCACCAAGGACCGTCAGCAAACGTCATGCTGGCGTATGAGGTTTAGACAGTGCGCAATTCCTCGGTCACCCTCTTTAAGGTTCAGGGCAGTAGGGCTCCCTGAAGTCTCCCTAGACCCAGCATCTAATGTCTGTTCACACCGAGTGTTAAGCTAGTTTTAGGCATCTTGGGGTATATGGAGAGTGGCGGGAAAAGCATGATCTAAGTTCTCTTCTTGACATATTCCCCCGCTGGTCTCTGGAACTAGAAGACAAGCCCTTCTGCTTACAATGTTCTCCCTTCTCTCTACTGCCCTTGCCCAGGTCACTTCTGTTCATTCTTTAAGATCCACCTCACATGCCACCTTCCTGGGAAAGCACCCACCCAGCGCTTCAGGCTGAGTTAGTGCTCCTCTCTTTTCCCACTTACCCTGTGACATGACATCACTGTCATTACTATGTGATATTAGGGTCATCTATGTCCTGTTTTTCAAACTAGAGTTGGTGCCCTTGAGATCAGAAACTGAATCTTGAGTCTCAGTAGCCACTTCCTGAGAATATACAGTTGCTTAGTTCACTGTTGATGTTCAAAAAATATCTGAGGAATGAGTGAATCAATGGGATAGAACATGCCTGGAGGGTACAGTTATCTTTTTAGGAAATCTGGCTCCATGAGAGCATGTGAGCAGCTGCTTCCAGAGGCAGAGCCAGGACCTGGATAACAGGTCCATGCAGGCTTCTCATAATACAGACCTTCATATGGAGGACAATGCTCACACTGACTATTTTTCTAAAATTTTATGGTGCCTCATATACACACAAAAAATGGAGTTAAATATAAAGTTTCTCTACCCAGAAGTCTAACATTAACCAAAACACCAAATCCAAAAATTCTCATGTAATTTCTATCCACTAGGGTTTCAGAAACTTTTTTTGTAAAGGATCAAATAGTGTTTAGTTTAAAGTTTGAAGTCATTTGGTCTTTGTTGCAACTACCCAGTTGTGCTGTTACAGCCCAAAACAATCACAGTCAGGGCATAAATAAATGGGTAAGGCTGTTTTCCAATAAAATTTTATTTAAAAAGCATAGGGGGCAGCTGCTCTAACTTGAGGGGTATCTTTGGCCAACCCTCTTTTACCCCAAGAATTTATTCATAGACCTCCAGCGATCCATTGACTCTAGTCAGAGAAACTCAGCCTTATTTTATGTTTCCTCTTTGTACAATATTATCATAGCTCTTTGAGGAAGCTAAAATGTAGGAAGTACAGTGAATGGGTTACTTGATAGAGGGGAAGAAGAAGGAGATTTGATGATCCTAATACCTAAGGGACTTGGGTGCTCAGGGTTCAAAGGCAAGAAACACAGATATTGACATGCCACTAAAGAGCTCACAGAGTAGTTGTGAAAATAGATGTTAATCAAACAATGAATAAATACAGGAAAAACTGTGAGCTTGAAAAGGTAGAGTTCTGTGATTCTAAGCATGCGCACTGCCCTTCCTTCAGTTACTCTTGGACAGATGTACAGACAGGGTAATATAGGGGGGATGGGGCACTGTTAACAAACTTAATAATACAAATATTGTTGAAGTGAGAGAAAGAGAGAGATTAGGAGCATACGAGTATTTGTGGAATGAAGTTGCAAAAGTAGCAAAGTTACTCAAAGTTGGTAGGTCCCACTAAAGCCTTTCCTTTATTCTAGAAGTAAGTGGGGATCCCGGTGACCGCCAGGTCAGGCGGGCACTCCAGCGCGCTCACAGTCACTGTAGTACGAAGGGCCTCGCTCAGGGGGGACGGGGTGTGTCAAGTGGGCTCGTGAGCTAGGGATTCACGTGGATTGTCAATTAGGATTGTGGAGCTGAGTTGGGCTCTGGACGGTAAGGGACCTTCTGGATGACCTTCAGAAGGCAAAGTCAACAAGGCTGGGAGATAGATTACATAAGGTGTTTCAAAAACAAGTAACAGTGAATAAAAAAAAATTAGAGCCCTACAATAGCCTAAACCGACAGTATGGCAGGAACTGGTTTTTTTTTCCCATGCAATGCCCGCTCTCTCCTACTTCTTACCAATAGAACCACAGTTTTGATGTGGGTGTCGATATTTTGAGATTAAAAAAATCATTCTGATGGTCCCATCTCTTTTGCAGATGGAATAGGCTTGAATCATCAAATACTCTTGTGAATGAAATATAAGCAGAAACTGTGGAGTAGAATTTCTGGAAATGATTGACTCAGGCAGCATGTAGCCATTTCTCCTTTGCCTTTTCTTTCTTCCTAGAAGGTGTGTAAAGTGATTGGATCACTGGCAGTTTCTTCAAAGTATGAAAACAGGAGTGACAACTTCGGACCAGAGACAGTGAGCTAGAAGGACCCTCCATCCATCATAACATGATAAAGGGAGTTTACCAGCCCTGGACTAAATACTATAGAGCTTCTTTATGTGAGAGATAAGTGAAGTCTCCTTGTTAAAAAACCTTATTACTTTGGTGTTCTATAACATGAAGCTGAACCAATCCCTAAATGATAGAGGTGACATTCATTGAAAACAGAAATTCCTCATTTCTTCAGAGGCTGACTGAGTAAGCCAGCACAGATCCCAACCATCCAGACCTTCAGAGGGGCTCTAGGTGACTCGGACACAGGTGATGTTGCTGTGCAAGGCCTGGCATTTCGCTACCTGGCATTCCTGTGCAAACTTTCCTCCCCGGCCTCTTCCCCCAAACATGCACATCAATAGAAACACACACACACACACACACACACACACACACGAGTTCTGGTTGTATCCAAATGTGCCAAGAAAAGTATGTTCCCCATGTATTTATCCTACTAGGAGAGAGAACAAATGGATGAAAAACTTATGTATTTAATAATAAAGGTACCCACTTTCAAAAAGTAACGTTTCATGATGACATCGTAGTGAAGAACATGTATCTCCCTCCCTGTTAGTTGGGGGAAAATTATAGAAATTGAGCCTGGAAATTGCACGACTAGTAAATGACAGAATCAGATTCAGATCTTCGAGTCTGTTATTACACCATGTTTCCACTGCTCAGCTTTACTACGAAAGGTTGGCTGAAAGACTCCTAAGACGCTTTCTATTTCTAATCGACTGTTTCCCTCACAGTCAAAAAGAATGGCGAACAGATCCCTGATGGATGCCGGGTAGCTGGACGCTCCGCCCACTTTCTCCCAGACCCAGGCTGGTCTTGCCCATAAACCACAGAGCAATCCACTTGAAAATCCAGCTGAGAGTGAGTTGGATTGTGTGTGAGTGAGTGTGTTCACAGACAAGTGTGCAGGGCTCGTGCGTCATGGGCAAGAGCCTGCGTCCTGCAGGGCCTTTGGGGCAGGCGGCCCAGGATCTCCTCGCGGAGCAGCTGCTGCCACCACTGCGGCCCAACCCGGCACTTCTGGCTGCAGAGTTGGGGTGGGGTCATATGGAGGAACTCAGACACACATTAGGACTCGCTATTTCTCTCTCTCGTTAGGTGTAGAGGAAAGGCCATGTGAGGACACTGTAAGGAGGCAGCTGTCTCTGAGTGAGGAATGAACACTCAGCAGAAACCAAACTTGCTGGAACTTTGACCTTGGTCTTCCAGCCACTAGATCTACAAGAGAATAAATTTCTCTTCTTTGAACCATGCAGTCTGTGGTATTGTGTGAGTTTCCTGTTCTCTCTTCTCTATTTCTTACTCTATGGACAGTATACACATCTTTCAAGTTGGAAGCCTCCATCGTCTTTGCATAAACACATCTTCTTGTTTTGTAAAGAAATATATAATAATATTGAAAGATTTTAGTTTACAGAGCTGAGATGGGTAAAAACCTTGCCTTCCTTTCAGATGAACCTGAAGCCCAAACGCAGGTGACTGACCAATTCATCCTCAGGATACGGATCTGGGTGATGGCAAAGGAGACTGGACAGACAGAGTGAGGATTCCCTGGACGCAGCCATTCCAACTGGCTGCCTCTCACCTGACCTGGAATGTGGAGTGAGGAGGGGATGCCCTTCAGTGCCCTGACCTACGAGTCCTTCCACGGCAGTGTTTCCTGAGCAGCTGTACGGAGTGAAGAGTTGGCGTGGAGTCGGGTTGAATTCTCAGTAGCAAGGCCTGTGCCAGGGAGAGGTACATCCCTCTTAGCTGTGGACACGTAGCTGTGCAGAGGACTCCAGACCAGATCCTAAGTCCCTCGTTTGGGTCATGAATGTTTGCATGAACAGCACAAGATTACTGAGGTTTCAAATAATTAATTAAAACAACTCGGTAGACATGCATCCCATGACAGAGTTTTCCTGCAAATGTTTACTATGAGAGTATTGGAGTCTGGAGAAAAGAGAAACCTTTCTGGCTGAGAGCTTCGGAGGGTCAATGCTTGGGGTCTCTTTCACACTGGCAGCCACCCCTTTTTACCCAAAGAGCAATTACCAACTACTTAACCTTCCAGGAATTGCCTGAGATTGGTTCATTTCTGTGAGAAACTCTAAACAGAGTCAATGCTTTTTAGGGAGGGAATGTAACTCCCTCCCAGGGCTGCCCACAGTCAGGCCCCACCTGCATTCCCTCGGGGTTTGCGCTCGGCTCCACCTGCAGCCTCCCCCACTGTGTCACTCAGAGCACAGAAGTACACCGCCGAGTCCGACATTTGCACTGATGATTTCTCGAGGTGGAAGGAGCTGTCACTCTTCATAAGCTTGGCCTTAAATCCTTCATTCTCTGTCATCTGGTTGTCTGTAGAGCTCTTCAGGAGGAGTTGGGGAGCTTTATTGAGATACTGGACATACCAGAAAAAGGCAAGACCTGGATAAGCGGTCTGGTAAGTGCAGTTCAGGATCATAGTTGTCATCTCCAGGAGGGTAACAGGGCCTTCTGTCTGGGTCACTGAGTCTCCATTGGTCCCTCCTGAAAAATAATTCCTTTGTTACATGAGAAATGTATAGGCAGAGAGTTTTCAGCCAAAGAAGACAACAACTAAAAGTTATCTATAATTATAGGAAAATGAAAAATCATTGACATTTAGGATAAAGTGTTACTTACTGAATATTAAGATCACAAGAAAGGAACAGGTGGCAGAAAGCATGTTTGCAGAAGAAAATGATCCTTGCTTCTGGTAATACACCGAATGTAATAGGGGTTGTCTCCAGTGGGCTCTTACAGAAGCTCCTCACCCATAACTTAGAGCCCCTCTCTGCACAACAGTCCGTTTTGTGTCTACAAGACTCAAATCACCAGCTGAAGTCAAGAAAGAACCACATGATAATGAAACATCGCCCCCTGGTGGCTATTCCTCAAATTACATCACAACCATGTCCTGGACCCTATTCCTTCTAATAACAGCTACAGAAATAGAGACAGGAGAAAGGGATACAAGTCTAAGGAGAAAATGCTAAAAAAAAAAGAAAGAAAGAAAATGCTAAATATTGGCTCTATAGGTTCATTAGTATTCCTGGGGAAATATTGAATTATCACTTCCATCATTTCTTGTGTGGTACAGAGGCCTACTGCTTCTCAGATAATTCGGGGTACTAGTTTTTAGTGGCATAGTCTAAGATCTCTTCCTTTCATATGCCCTCATGATTCTCATGCGCAGAGGAGGATCCCTCTGCCTGGAAACTTCTCCCTACTCTCCCCCAGTCCTTCTCCTGAGTTAATTTTATTCATCCCCCACAACTCAGTGTCATAGAGGAAGCATTTCCTAATGCAATTCTTCTCAAATTTTCTGTGGTTGAATAACCAGTTTTTCTCAATCCACCATGGACTGATACATTCATAAAATACAAATATAATAAAGTACTGTGATTTCTGTTTCACTGGCTAAATTAGAGTGCTATAGGAATTGACCTTCCAGCTAGAAGATGGGACAAAGTAAACAAAACAACAATTTTTGGACATTGGGGTACAGGTGGCACAGAGACAGATAAAGACAACAGTGAGGTGAGCCCTACCCTTGCCCCAGCTTGCTTTCTGGAGGTAGTTTCAGTGCAGGGAGAGTGTAGCAAAAATAACGCAGCTGTCTCACTGATGGGACAGAAGGAGACTGGGGATCCGGGAACACCTAGAATTTGGGGAGAAGTGCACCAAAGAAGAGGGATTTGCAGAAAGAGAGAGAGAGATGAGAACTGCAAGGGCATCACTGATCCACTTTGAGTCTTTGACTGAGCACTGATCTGCACACATGTGAGAGGACACTCACTGAGCCTGGTATCCCCTCCCTGAAGGGGTCTCCTCAGGGTGGATGGACCATGTTTGCACAGCAGCAGCAGCCTTCCACCTTCAGCCGTACGAGGGACGAGTAACCTTACTTAGGGAACCTGGTTCTTGAAACACCATCTTTTTACTTCTGTCCCATCAATGTTTTAATCCAATTAAGTGTTTGCTTTTAGAAAACAAGGTTTAGGTGCTTAATATTATTAGCCCAGCTCTCTTCATTCCAGAGGCATGCATGTGGTGTTTAGCTGCCTCCTGTTTATTTGTTTCCATAGGGAATTCAGGAATCTCCACTAAAGGTGATGCTTGCTCACTGTCTGTTGACTTGTTTGTCTCATTTCATTTGTTCTTATTTGTGCTGATAAATATAAACCCAGCAGAACTGAAAAGGGCCATTTTCATAGCTTGCTGTTTGTCTAGGATTGGGTTTACTTTATGCAAGGCCTGATGGTGTTATAGCAAGAAAGCAAAGCATTGTTCCTGCTTCCACAAGCCATGCAAGGCACTGGGCCCTCCTCCCTGCAGACGGCTGTGATTTTTTCCTACACAGACTCTTTGTGGATGTGCTGTCCATGTAATGATAGTAGGTGTGATTAAATCAATTGACTACAGTACTACTTTTCTACAAATGATAAATGTTCACCCGAAATTAGTTTCTCAATTAAAATTACGTTCACTCTTAGTAAAATTCGGCTCTTGAATAAAGTTTGCATGTTGACAGGATTCCCTGGCTAAGCAGGTCACCTGGCTGCTCTTACGCTACTGTGCGTGCTGGGGAACTCCTAAAGCAAAAGCATTCTTTCTGGAAATTTACAGTTACCTACAATGTGTAAAGCCTCTTTTAGTCTATGGGTCTTCTAACTCCAATTAATTTCTTATAGTTTATCATTTGAAAAATCAGGTTTGTCCTATAGAGTCTTTCATTCTAAGGATTTTGATTATTGCTTAAGTCTGATGAGCTTAATGTGTTCCTCTCTCCTTTCTATTTCCTGTACATTGGTGATTACCTTGAAAGGAAAGATTCAGTTTAAATCTACTAACCAAGAAAAAATGATGTTTTTCCTTTTTTTTAGGAAGGTCCTCAGTCTGAGTTACTATTTCACACCCAGGTACTCTGGTTTCTCTCTGTTCGGATCTGCTGAGGAGGACGGGAGATGACAGAGCGATGACCGTGTGAAATACAGGGGTGCCACCCCGTTTCAGAGGAGAGTACTGTGCACACCCAAGGACATCTGACACTGAGGGACAATTTTTCTCTTCATCAAAGAAAAGGATACTTTTGTTACGAAGTCAAATGCAAGTGTTTTCTTAAAGATGACATGGGAGTTGAGCGCTAAACTGTTGAAACTGCATCCTGTCGTCTGGAAGAAGAATGGAATAAGGGCAAACACAGTAGACAATGGAAGTAGGGGACAGGTTGCACTAGGTGACACACAACAGGCAACTGCTACATGGAGCAGAAAGAAGTGGCATAAAGGATCGAGTTCAGAGCTCATTGGTATCACGTGTCATAGGGACTTGATATCTACTTTATTCCCTCTATTAAAACAATAGAGTGGATCGGGCCCAGGACAGAAGTTGTATAGCCTAATTTCTCAGGAAACTGGACAGTGCATTCAGTGAGCATTAGCTTTTTGTTTATTTATTTAAATGTTTAAAATGTGTTTCTTTGCTTTATTTGATTTAGGTCACACTCTAGCCACAGGCAGAGGAACAGCTGTGTGGGAGGGGTAGCGTGTGCGGGAGCCGAGGCTCTGAGAGGTGGGCGGTACCTCAGGGAACTTCAGGCAACACCTGAAGAGGGAGGGCCGTGAAGAAGGAGCGTCGGCTGGAGCCTGGTGGCTGCCGTCCACCGCTTCATCCCCGGGTCTGTTTCAGGGGCTACTCAGAGGGCCCCAGCTGTCCTGCGGGCTGTGACAGCTTCACCACCTCGGCCTGGGACCCAGAGGCTCCCTGCGCTGTACTCCTGTCTCTGCGTGTCCACATCTAACAAGCCTGCAGCCGGACGGGGATGGGACGCAAGGACTCGGGGAAAAAGTGTCCGTCTTTGAATCACCTTTCGGGACTCTGCTCTACCTGGGAGAAACCTTGATTGTGAAACATCACTTTCCTCCATCCTCCTGATACCAGGCCTAGTGCTGACTTAGAGTCAATGTATGTAAAATAAAACATTGTACCATTGTTAGAAATGGAGGATGAGGTGTAGCTCCATAAATCGTGAGATGCTTAAAATGTAAGGAGCGATTTGGACAATGGAAATTGAGCATCAGTAGCTCTAATTATAAACCCTAATATAATTCAAGGACCTGTCATCTCAGGGAAGTTCCCAGGGGTTCCATGGGCCAAAGAATATTGAGATATCCTCTTCAAGGTGAAAGATGTGTACCTGCATCTCACTCCACCTACCACAGAAAGAGAGGTACAACACTGGTTAGGCCTTTTTGGATTTTGGAAGCAACATTTGCCACATGCAGGTGTGTGCTGCTTTGACCTATTCACAGAGTCACCTATAAAGCTGCCCGTTTTGAATGGAAACGAGAGCAAGAGGAGACTCTATAGCAACTTCAGGCTTCAGTGCAATCTGCTCTACCATTTTGGTCTTATGATTTAGAGTGAGACATGGCCAGAAGTAGTGATCTACATTGACTCATGAGCAATTACTAAAGTTTTTTCTGGGTAGTAAGAGACTTGGAAGGAACAGGATTTGAAGACTAGTGATGAGAAAAACTAGGGAAGAAGTTTGTAGATAATCCCCTCAGAATGGGCATATATTACAAAGATAACTATGTTCCATGTGAATACCGACCAAGGGAAAACCAAGTAGAAGCTCTTAATAATGGACAAAATGATATTCTTTTTTTAATTATATTTTATTGACTATTCTATTCCAGTTGTCCTGATTTTTCCTCCTTTGGCCCCCCTCCACCCAGCACACCCCATTCCCTCAGGCCATCCCCGCACTATTGTTAATGTCCATGGGTCATGTGCATAAGTTTTTGGCCACTCCATTTCCTATACTACACTTTACATCCCCATGGCTATTCTGTAACTACTTATCTGTATCTCTCAACCCCCTCACCACTTCACCCATTCTCCCCTTTCCCTCTCCCATCTGGCAACCTTCTGGTAACTAACTTCTTTTCTCTTGCTATTCAGTCTCTCTTTATCTTAAACCTATGGCCTTAATTATGATGGGCCTTGGAGTGGGCCCCTTTGCATCCATCAAATTGGAGCTCTCTGTGCTTCCTGGACTTGCATGTCTATTTCCTTCACCAAATTAGGGAAGTTTTTTTTCATTATTTTTTCAAATAGATTTCCAGTTTCTTGCTCTTTCTCTTCTCCTACCGGCACTCCTATGAGGCGAATATTGGACTTCTTGAAGTTGTCACAGAGGATGCTTATACTATCCTCATTTTGAGGGGATTCTTTTTTCTTTCTGACTGGTTGGTTTTTGCTTCCTTATGCTCCCATTCATTGAGTTGATTCTTGGCTTCATCCACTTGGCTACTGTTGTTTCCCTGTAAATTGTTCTTTATTTCAATTTCTGTATCCTTCCTTTCTGACTGGGTGTTTTTTATGCTGCTGAGATCCTCCCTAACTTCCTAAGCATCCTTATAAACAGTGTTTTGAACTCTTCACCTGATAGATTGCTTATCTCCATTTCATTTCGTTCTTTTTCTGGACTTTTGATCTGTTCTTTCATTTGAGCCATGTTTCTTTGTCTCCTCATTTTGGCAGCCTCCCTGTGTTTGTTTCTATGTATTAAGTAGAGCTGCTTGACTTCATGTCTTGCCAGTGTGGCCTAATGTAGTAGGTATCTTATATGGTCCAGCAGTATAGCTTCCGCTATCACCCAAGCTGGGTCCTGGAGGT